ATATAGAAGCAGAAAACAAGGATTCATCATCGAGCCGTAGGAAAGTCATGGGTCTTTTCTCAGAATATGCAAGAGCATAGTGGTCCTTTCTGATTAGAACACAAATGGGTGGGGAGATTTATTGACAATAGTTTCTTTTCCAAGAGCACAGGCCTCCGTAAATTCAGCATTGTCACCATTTAAAGAGGACTAAGATTCTGCTCACCCTTCCACTCAGTGAGCTGTGCCCTGGGATGAGCGTGCAATGGGAGACCCAAATTTGCTGCACGCACTCACTCACCCCAATTTTAGTGTCAAAAATGTGCACAGCTTTTTACACGGCCCTCAGTTCAAGTCGGGAACTTCATCTGGTGCTCAGGCAAAGAAGCAGTCTGTTGCCCCTGGAAGACAGACTGTGGGTATTGGTTTTTGAAAGCTGGCCCCCAACATGGTGCCTCCCATACTCAATTTTCACTCAACTTGCTGATTTAGAACCTAATTTTATGTAAGGCAGCTCCGCCCTACAAGGGGGCAAGCTGGAAATTGAGACGCGCATCTTCCCACGGGCGCTTGTGGCGCAGGCGTAGCCACAGAGTGCAGCTTTCGGTGGACCCTGACGTTGCCCGTCTCCCAAACAGATCCTGCAGGAGTTGGAGTATGGCCCCTCGGTGGACTGGTGGGCCCTAGGGGTGCTGATGTACGAGATGATGGCTGGTCAGCCCCCCTTCGAGGCCGACAACGAGGATGATCTGTTTGAGTCCATCCTCCATGACGACGTGCTCTACCCGGTCTGGCTCAGCAAGGAGGCCGTCAGCATCCTGAAAGCTGTGAGTCACTGGCCCTCACCCACTTTCTGCTCCCCTGGCTTTCCCACCTCTCTCTCTCCCTGCCCACTCCTCCTTTCTCTCTCTCCTCTCTCTCTCTCACTCTCTCTCTCTCTCTCTCTCTCTCTCTCTCTCTCTGTCTCCCACCTCTGCTCACTGCTGAACAGAAGGGGCGGAGGGCAGTCACCGCTGGGAGCTCAGGCCCACTGCACCCGCTCCTGCCAGAAACGGGGTCTGGGACAAATTACTGTTCTTGTGGGAAAGGGACACCATGTCTGTGTTTCCTGAGGAAGGCTCCATGCACCTGGGTCCTCCAGTGCTGTAAAGGGGGAAGAGCCAACCCCTGCTCCACTGGGGTCACCCCTGCTGCTTGCACTCTGGGGGCTGGACCCTCCTTCCTTACCTGCCACCCATAGCCTGTCTTCCTCCGGGGCCTGCAGTGGGGGAGGGAAGGGAGGCATTGTGCACCTGTGTCCGCGACAGCATCGCTGATCAAAAAAGACGCCACTCAAGATCCCTGTGGCCACGCTGGATCCAGATGTAATAGAGAGACTGCCCCCCCACCCCCCGCCAACAGATAGTCCCTCACAGGTGACAATGCTTAGTACGTGCTCAGCATACCCATTGCTGCATTGTAAGACACTTGTACTGTGGCAAGTAAGTGAAGTTACCTGTCCCCCTTGGAATGCTGGGGGAGCTGAGGTGCACGGAAGGTAAGCAGACCAGCTTACCTGGGAACAGTCACCCCACTGGGCTGAGGCCATGACAGCACAGGAATCTTGACTTCCGGTCCTGGCTCCCTTCGCCCATCAGAATGCCCCAAAGTTCCGAGTTGGCGTGCCTCAGTCACAGAATTTGCCATATCCAAATACCCGCCCTACCGTGATTTAGTTTTGTTTTTTCAATCGAGTCCCCAAATCTACCTAATTATATGTAATTTATAAAGAAATGTTATATAACTATCATAAATGGGAAGAGTATCACTTGTCATAGTTAATTAACATAAATTATCCCATGAAAACGGTAAAAATGACCTAAAATCATTTCGCAGGTATCCGGCAGGGGACATGTATCATATTTTGGAAAATGCCACAGCAGGACATGTTGCTTCTTTCTGCAGCTCATTTTTTCCTTCCTCTTCCCTTTTCTCCCTCACCTCATTTCTTTCCTCCCTTCTGCATCTATTTCTCTTTCCCCCCTTCTTGCTCTGCCCCTTCCCTCTCCTGCTTCCCTCCCTCCCTCCCTCCCTCCCATTCACTGATTCAACGAGCGACCATTTGTTGAGTGTTTCCAGTGCGCGGGGCATTGTGCTAGATGCTGACTAAGCACTGGTGAGTGTAACAGCCGTCATCCCTGCCTTGCGAAGATTGTGATCCAGCAGGAGAAGGTGGGCAATAAATAAAAAGCACATCCATGTGTGGTCACAATTGGGATAAGAGCAGTGAAGGAAGCAAACAGAGTATGCTCATTCACTCATTCATTTATTCAACACGTATTTATTGGGCATCTTAGGATGTGCCAGACACTGTACCAGGTGCTGGCTAAGGAAAAACCTGTAGCACCTGAGGCAGCCAGAACGCCCCCAGCAGAGCTGGTCACTCACGTTGGGCCCTGAACACCAGCCTGACACACTTTCCTGTGAGCCCCCTGCTGGCACCCCAGGTGGGCCCTTTCATTATGGATGACCTAGAGCAATGGTCTTCAACTAGGGGTGATTGTGTCCCCCATCGTCCCCCAGAGACATTTGGCAACGCCTGGAGATGCTTTTAGTTGTTACAACTTGGAGGGGAGGGGTGCTATTGGCATCTAGGAGGTAAAGCCCAGGGGTGCTGCTAAACATCCTGCACTGCCCAGGACAACCCCCAGACAAAGAAGTATCCAGTCCAAAATGTCATTAGCACAGAGGCTGAGAAACTTTGACCTACAGAGATTCAGAAGAGGTCGTGCCTGTGTCAGCTGGTTGGTGAGGGTGAAGTCTCTGGGAAAAGAGAAGCGCCTCTGGCTCGGGGTCAGCTTCCTGAGAAGCTAAAACCTGTATGTTTATCCGTAGCCCTGATACTTCCCCTCCCAGAAGTGGGAGGACAGGAAGAGCTGAGGGAGCAAGGAGAAGTCTTCTACTCCCTTGGCCTTGGAACGCTTCACTTCCTCACATTGTCACCTGATTCTAGGGCCAGGCCAGGTTTTCCATGACTCTGGCCACTGATCTGTGTCTCTGAGGGCTGCTGCCTACATGCAGAACTCTCCAGAAGGCCATTTGCACCAGAGAGTTATGCAGTGCACAACCTGTGCAACGGTAGTGGCAGTCCTGCTGCCTCCCTTCCTCAGCACTGTGCCCTGAGGCCCAGCCTTCAACCCGCTGTTCACTCACCTCCGTGTACTGAGTGCACAGTGGGAGCCAGGCACTGAGCCAGATGCTGGGAAGATAGAACTGATTCCTGTATCATAGAGCTCACCAAGGAGAAGAGATGTTTAGACAAACTATAATTTAAATAAACGAGAAGCATGGTGTCTTAGTTGTCCACAGAGTGAATCTGGGGAGGCTTCACAGAGGAGGCAGCATTTTGACTGTTTCTTCGAGGATAGTTAGGGGCTAGAGAGGGGCCTTGGACCAGGCAAGTAAAGGATGCAGAAGGCGAGCGAGAGAGACTGGCTACAGACTGAGTAGTTTGTGTGTGCCAAACTAAGGGGTATGGACTTTATCCTGTGGGCGATAGGAATCAGGGGTGTATAAGCAGGGGTGACCTCTGCCAGCTGTTCGATTAGAAGGATGAAGTGTGTTGGCACCATTCCTAACCCCTCACTCTCTCGTCCATGGCTCCCCTGCCTTTCAGGGGTGCCAGGCAGGAGGCAGGAGGAGGCTCCTACTGCCCAGGAGAACCTCCCTTGCTGATGAAGCCTAAAATGCTATCATTATAGATTTATCCCTTTGGATTATAATTTGTCCTCTTAGGTTCCTTTGTTGAAATCTAAACTTTCAGCCTTCACCCCATGAAATATAATACTCAGTCTCTGACACACATGCACACACACACCCCTACCTTTATTCTGGGTGGCTATCAGAAATATTTCCACCTACCAGCACTGATTTGTTTCAGGCTTATGTTACTATACATCTGCTCAATGAAATTAACATTTGCCATCAGGACTGACTCAGTTAACAGGAATAATCATTTCTCCTGAGTGTGTGAGGTCACAAGACACCAGCCAAAAAGTACAGAACACGTCACTGTGTTTTTTACTGACAGGCATTGAGGAGAAGTAAGCCTTTCTTTTTCTTGTTTTTTATCTGTTAATCTGTGTGGGGTTTTGTGCTAGAGATTACAAAGTCGATTTTTCTAAAAAAGTAGGAGGGCCTAGGTCCAGGCAAAGGAAAGAGGAGGAAGTGCCTTTGATAACTGACCTTAACATGAATATCTGGCCTTCTTTCCTTCCCTCAGAAAGGACTGCTGACCTCTCAGTATGAGTTTATCAGACCTCAGTCTCCCTGATGAGAAGACTTGCGAATCTGAGGGGGAATCACAGGGTTAGAGAGTCTGAGCTCCTAATCCTGCCTTGATACCTTGCTGGCTGTTTGACCTTGGCCAAGTTAATTAACTTCTCTGTGCCCCAACGACCTCACTTATAAAGTAGGGGTCATGATAGTACCTCAGAGGGTCACGCTGGGTGAAGCGAATCAATGCATGTATATGTGATACTATGTGTAGAACGGTGGCTGGCGCACAGTAAGTTCTGTGTAAGAATTAAAGAGCCCCCTGAGGTGCAGAGCCCCCGAAAATGTAGAAAGTGGGCTTGGGAGGTGATGCTCAGGATGCTGCCTTGGCTGAGTTCCGTATTCCCCTCACAGCCTGTGCCTGCCGGGCCTTTGTCACTGATTCCGTCTCTCTGCTCATCCCCGCAGTTCATGACCAAGAACCCTCACAAGCGCCTGGGCTGTGTGGCGGCACAGAACGGCGAGGATGCCATCAAGCAGCACCCGTTCTTCAAGGAGATCGACTGGCTGCTCCTGGAGCAAAAGAAGGTCAAGCCGCCCTTCAAACCTCGAATTGTAAGTGGGCCCTGAGCTCGTTCCACGGCGCGGGCGGGCCTGGCTCCCATGCGCAGAGATGGGGGTCTGGGCACATTTTACAGCCAAGATGACAAGGGCAGGAGGTCACCAAGAGGCCCCCTAAAAGAGAGTCTCCTTGGCCCTGGGAGTTTACTGTCGAAAACACATAACCGATAGCGGTAACCAAGGTGATGATTTATACGGGACACAGAAGAACCTTTTGTACCTTAATCAAATTTTATTTATCTTGATCAAAAATTATAGATGATACTGGTTTTCCATGTGTGGCAGCAATATAAGGCTTCCTTTTGGATAAGCTTTCTTTTAAATGAGTCCATTTAAAGAAAAATGTTAAGTAACTAATTGTCGCAGTCATTCTGTGGAGCGAGCACAGAGCGTGAAGCTGAGCCTCAGAGATGGCCATTTGAGGAAGACTGTCCCCCGGGGCTGCCCATGGGTGCTGGCTCTGTAAGAGGCTGTTTCTTTCGGCCACATCTCTGCCCTCTCTGATCCACTCTCCCCTTCTGCCTTCACTCCAGCCTCAGCACACACTCCTCCCAGGTTCTTGGGCCTGTTGTGCTCATGCCAGTCGGACGAGGGTGCATTAAAGGGTGTTTGAAGCTCAGAGATTGGAAAAAGGAATAGGCCTGTCGATTCCGGGCTTAACTCAGAGACCGTGTCGTGGCAGTGACCTTCTGCTGGAAGGGGAGAGGGCCGGCGGTGCTCTCCTGAAAATGAGAGAGAGAGAGAGAGAGTGGGTGTGGGTGTGCATGCGTGTGCATGTGTGTGTTTGTGTGTGACGGGGGAAATTCTTATCTCTGCTGGATCCTAGCCCAAGGAGGCAGTCATTTAGACTGAAACTTTGGGTAACCAGCTGGGTAGCATCCTGGGGGCGAGGGAGGGTGTGTAACATAGGAAGTTATAGGGCAGAGCCCCAGAGTCGTGGGGCTGGGGGTCTCGGACAGGGAAGACCTGAGATTATCCAGTCGGCCCTCAGTCACCCCACATTCTTTCTGTCAGAGGACCCCTTCTTCCTCACTTCCAAGTACAGAAAAGACCCTCCTGTGCTTTGGGTATCATCAGAGAGGAAATCTACTGTATTCCAAGACATTTTCTGGGGCGCAGTGGTTGAGAGTGCGGTGCTTCTCAGAAATGTTTCATGTCGGGGGTAACTCGCAGCTGAAGGGTGTGGTCCGGGCCTCAGCCAGATGCGAGCATGGCAGGTGAACGGTCCCTGGACACTCAGTCCTGTCTCCATTCCTCATTTGCTTCCTTCTTGGGTTTTTATGATTTTCGCTGGCTGGCACACAGCCTGGAGCAGGCTAAATTCAGGTTTACCTTCTTTCTTTGTTAGCATCACCCACAGTTCTGGGGCCTGTCCTGCCAAAGGCCCGTGCTGTGGGCTCGGGACAGGGCTCACCGCGTGCGCCAGCCTGCCTGAAGGCCGCCCCACCCCATCCCGAGGGTCTCTGAAGGTGGCCTTTAAGGACAAGATGAGCTGACAAGGTTCCCCAGACAAAGCGAGGGGAAGCAGGAGACCAGAGGCCAGGCAGAGGAGGAGAAACAAAAGACTCGGATCGGAGGGTGAAATGTTACTTTAGGTTCAATCTAATAACTTAATCAACCCAAAGAAAACTGAGACGTAGAACTGAGTAAGGAATCCAGGCCCAACAAACAGGAACCTGGGACGAGAGCAGGGACCAATCGGCCAGTGCAGGTCTGCAAGATGACTTGGACTCCAGTCTAGGCACCAGCTCAACGAAAGGACTGGGCACTAGGCTTGTGGCGGGGAGGGGGAGGACTCGAGGAGCAGCTTTCTCCCGGGCATGCAGCCTGGAGGGGACAAGCGCCAGGGGACCATCAGCAAAGTGTGTGAAGGGAAGAGGGGGCCCGGGTGGGGCAGAGGCAGACAGGGAGTCTTTGCCAAGAGGCCACAGGGAAGCAAGGAATTCGGGAAGCTCTTTGTGATAAAAGGCGCAAGGAAGCTCTAAAGGATGGATTCACAGAGGAGGGTCTCTCACTGGGGTAGAATAGTGGCAGATCATCACTCAGATCCGGTGGAGGTGAGTCCTCTGAGATGGCCAAAGACCCGAGTAGCTCTGGTCTCCAGGAGCTCTTCCCAAAGCCCTAGCAATGCCAGGGGCTCCTCAGTGGGGCTTCCACCCTCCAGTCTGAACTCTGAGCCCAGTGAAAATGCAGACCTGAGCGGAGTGACATTTTGAGCAGTCCCTGGCTTCCCTGGAGTAAGGGGAGGGCAGGAAGGACAAGTGTGAGATTTCTGTGGACCTGCAGGATGGGCAAGGAACCAGACAGAGGAAGGGGGAGGAATGAAGCGTGAACCAGGAGACCGAGCAGGTGACCCAGTCCGCTATCCTAGAGCTGCCCCTGGCCAGAGGTGCAGGTGCTCCTGCGGTCAGTGGGTGACGGCCCCCCAGGAACCAGCAGTAGAAGCCCCATCCTGTGGGTCAGGTGGGACTACCTCTCTACCTAGGTAGAGCACAAGGGCCCAGCGCTTCCCTTCCCAGGGCCTCTCGAGGGTCCCCAGCCTGGGACCAGAGGGCAGGACTCTGCTTGCTTCCTTCGCTGAGGGGCTCAAGTAGGCTTCCAGGGGCCGTCCAGGAGCTCCCACCAAGTTCAAAACTGTCTTAGCATTCCTAAAGACTGAGTTCATCATTGCCTTGGAAATCATCCTCTGTGCATGTTCCTGTTCGCCCCCCCCCCCCACAGACCTCCAGAGTCATCCTCAACACTGTTGGGGGTCAGGGGAGAGGGCGTTTATTTGGTTGGTTTGAATTCAGTTTGGAGGAGAGAATTAGAACATCCAAAGGAAGGGTAAGAAGGGAAGCTTCGTGTGTATGTGTGTGTACAAGAGGTGTTTCTGGTCACATTTGGAGCTGAGTAATGTTGATCCATACTGAGTTCTCGGCTATAGGTCATTCAAGAAGTATTCAGGTTATTTAGATCTCTGATCACAACTATATCCTTGGGACTAGAGATTTCTCTCCAGAGAACTACTAAAATCGGAAAAGAAAAGAATAGTCTTCATCTAGTTAGCAGGTTGGAAAGGTGTCCCAAATCTGTCCCTTAAATGAAAACTCGTTTCTGAAACATGTTCATGGCACCACCCTGAGTCATCTGTGGGCTTGTGTACAACAGAAACAGATTTTAAGTTGAATTAAAGCCCACTGCAGTGGCGGACATACTGTGTTTCTCATCTCTAAAAGCCCTGTAGGGCCAGTGTGAAAACTCACACGGGCGTTTATAAGCCGTCACCCCCTCTAACCATCTCAGGACTCACCGCGGGGGTGTGGGACAGCCTGGCTCAGATGCCAGGGGTGAGCATGGCTCTGTGCTCCAAAAGCAGGGTCAGCCTCACCCCCAGACAGAATAGATGGCCACATACAAGAGGTCATTGGAGAGACACTGGGAAGCTGAGGTATGTCTCCACAGAAGTCATCTTCTGTTCACGGGGCAGGGAGTTCCAACACAGGACAGGCTTCCCGTGGGCTTCAGGTAGCACATAACTTGAGGACACATCAGATGCCTTCCGAGGAGAGCAGCAGCAGAAAGGTTTTGTCGGAGGGAGGAAAGAAAACTGGTCTGGAGCCTGACATGGGGAACAAGTGGCCAAGATGGTGGGTCGCAAGCAGCCAGGGATGGTGTGAGTTTCTTAGATCTTAGGGACAGACTCCGAGTTAAAGGAAAGCCACTGTGAGAAGGAAGGGGACAAGTCTATGAGCAGGTATCTCCAGCCATGCACCTTGGTGGTGGCCTGGAGAAGACACTGGGCATGAGTTTTAGCAGCAAGGAAAGCGATGCACGGACTCCCCTATCTCATGGGGCTGAAGAGCCCCAGGGCGTTCGGTCGAGGTCCTGGGGCTCGTGAGGGAACTGCAGGGCTTCTTTCGCTTCCTACCCATGCCCCGCTGACGTCACACCAGGATACCACTAGTGCCCAGGATCCTTCTGAATAGCTGCTCTCCACTCCTCAGCTGGCCCTACTGAATCTGAGCACCCTGGGGGGCATCCTGCCTGTCTGATTCAGGAAGGAGTGGGTTTTGTCTGGCTGGGGGGAGACTGGGTGAGGTCATGTCATCCAGTCTAGGAGTTACGAAGAGACAAGACGTAGTGGCCTATTTTCCACAGCTCCTGACCGTCCCCACTCCCCCCGCACAGACGGAGCCCCTCCACAGCTGGTGGGCACAGCAGGCCTGCACTCTGCCCAGGTTGGCTCAGCTGGAGGTGGGGCGGGTCCCTGGATCACCCCCACAGGGGCTGAGGATATGGCCGGAGAACAGCTCCCAGGCCTGGTTTCCATCCCCTCTGCAGGAAGCCTCGCCCCTCTAAAGATATCACCCAGGACACTGTCCAGATTCGTAGCTGGAATTTGGCCTCTGGGCAGGTTCCGTCCCGTACCTCAGTTGGCTGCCGTCCCCTCCAGGCCTTTGCCTTCTCGAGATGTTTGCTGAGCTGAGACTTCTGCTCCCTGGCGCCGGAGCCTCCGTATCTAACCACTGCCCTGACTCGCCAGCTGTCAGTATTCCACTGGGTTTCCTACCTACAGCTTTTCATCCCTTTGCACTAACCCCACGCCAGGACATTTTTCAGTGGCTTTTGCTTCTGCGTGGAGATTTCCTTCTCATCTTTCCTGCCAGCTGTCTTATCTTGTATATTCTCCCTCCTCCACCTTCCTTTTTATGCTCCTCCCGTCCACCCTTTATCCACCCACATACTCGACTGACGTTGCACAAGCAGTGTGCCATCAACACCAAACCAGAGACTTGGTGCCATCATGCGCTCAAATCAGTTTTCTGGGGGTGGCTCGCTTCAGAGCAAGGGCATACAGCAGTGGACAGGTGGGGGAATAGAAAAGCCAGCGAGGCTGGATCCATGGCCTTTGATGCTGGAAAAAGTCGCCAGGCGTAGAATTCACTGGTCTATCCCACTGGGGATTTGGTTCCAAAATGGCGGCATCATTTGCTGCCATTAAAAGTAGCCCA